AGCCAAAGAAAGGGTGGGGTGGGATCTGGCCTGAGCCACTACCACTACCACTACCACTACCACTACCACTACCACTACCACTACCACTACCACTACCACTACCACTACCACTACCACCACCACGACCACGACCACGACCACTACCACTACCACTACCGCTACCGCTACCGCTACGACTACCACTACCACTACCACTACCACTACCACTACCACTACCACTACCACTACCACTACCACTACCACTACCACTACCACTACCACTACCACTACCACTACTACAAATTACAAATTACGAAATATTACTACGACGACCACGACGACGCGTATTCTTTTTGTTGCTACTGCTGCTGCTGCTGCTGCTACTGCTACTAGTACTACTACTACTACTACGACGACGACGACGACGACGACGACGATGCTACGACCCTGCGACGACGACGAGTACTATAATGCTACTCGCGCTATTACTTCTACACTTTCTCCTGCGACGACGACGACGACGACTCAACAAGTAGTTTTCTGGTCGAAGAAGGCGTGTCGCTGTCAGAGCCGTAGCTGAACTCGTTGCAGAACTGGAAGGACAAAGAGAGTGGGTTGACTCAAAATCCAAAAAATGCAGTGGACGCATGTGCAAACAGCCAGGCATGCCCTCGTCCTAAAGCCCTCCAGTGAGCCTGATGCCGTCAATCGACTTCAAATGGAAGATGTGGTCTTCGAGGGCAATGTGGCGACTGACTTTGGAGGAGCCCTTGAAGTGAGCGCTCCTGCCGACGTTACTGTTTCTTGGTGAGAACCCGGACTTGAAGATGTAGCCGTGGAAAATCTAACCATATGGAAACAGAGCATGAAGAGCGAAGTCGCCTTCTCAATGTAGTGGAGACATGCACATGGGGTCGTGCCAAGATGCCTCAGCACACCGGAAGGAGCTGCGGGCAACAAACTGATCTAAATTGTGAGCTCCCGAGGTCCGCAATGCAATCTTCCGGAACAATGCTGCGCAATCAAATGGCGGTGGGCTGGCCATATTTGCGAATGGACCTTCACGCATTGAGATTCTTGCAATGCATTGGACGAAGTGTGACCCCGCATCGGGGATCCCTCCCGACGACCGTGAACACAGTCACACTCTGTGTAAGCTGAGGATCAACAATTCCATTATCGAAGGGAATCTTGCAAACGGACAAGGCAAGCATCACATTTTATGAAAGTTGGTTTCGACAGTAAGACAACGTGGAATCTTCGGGCCATCTCGTCCACCTCGTGCCTCGTTTCCTGCTGGCAGCGACATAGAAAGTGCACCAGCCTTGGTTTTTCGCCACTTGCTTCCGCGACACCGAATTCCATCAGAATTGGTCTTGACTGCGATTGGCTACATGTCGGAAGGCCGAATAATGCCTGCACAGAACGTCCGCGCACGAACTGAAAAAGTGAACTTAAGTGCACAAGTCACGAAAACTAGCTCTGCGGAGCTTGCGGGAGCTGTCGTTTGCCATTCACGTTAGGTCGAAGTGACCCAGGTCCAAATCGGCGTGTCGAGGACATTATCTGGTCCTTTCACAAGAGTTGAAGGGGGGTGACGGCGCCCTCCCCTCCCGGCACCACAAAAAATTGATTCAGAGGCAACAGGTGGGGCTCCCCTCTCCACCACAAGGCGGCTGCCGTGTTGTACGAGGGCAGGAGCTCCCCCCGTCAAGGTCCATCTGTTTCTGCAACACCGCAACTTTCATTTTGTCTTTAGACGCCCGAGCGTCTAAGTAGCAGGTTTCAAGTCTGATGCCTCAGTAATCAGTAATTGTGACTGTGGTAGGACAGTTCGAAGATGGCCGAGCTGTGCTTATGCAAGGCATTCCGGAGCGCAATGAGGTCGGTCACGGGTACTACGACAAGAGTGTCGGTATGTGCGCCAGTGTAATGCAGAAGGCTATTATCATCTTGTAGGTCTCAGGCTTCATGGCAACACATATGTGCTTGCCATCAAGCTTCCGAGCATGCGGGCAAGAACGACCGAGACTCTGCTTCCTTTGTTTGCTCTAGCTTTCGTGGACCTCTTCGCAAGTCGCTGAATTGTCCTGAGCTTGTGCTTACACTTGTCCACTCCAAAGCTTTTTGTGAAGTCGACCTCCGCTCTGCGACTGGCAGGGTAGCCACCCTTGTTCGTGCAGGCCGAACGGTTCGGAACACATGCTGATATGCTTGACTCGTAGGCAGGAGGGCGTTGATACGTACCGGTGAAAAGACTGAGGGCTGCTGTACAGGTATGCACAGTGCAGCCCAATGCGCGCTCATCTCGCTTTGGCGCGTGTTCCTGACATGAACATACCCGTGTGTCAACCCGGAAGCTTGCCCATAGCTGTAGCTGTATTGTGATCGGGTTTGGTGAGTTGGAGGTGGCGGGATATACTGCACCGAGCTGGTAAACATGCCGGCGGCCCTCGTGCTCAACAACGTGGAAATCCGCGGCAACGAAGCCTATGGAGGTGGAGGAGGCTTGTCGTTTGACTGCACTTCCTTGGATATGGCAGGTGGCAGTGTGTCCAACAACAGCGTCCTTTCGGGCGGCAAGGGTGGCGCCCTTCAAGTTGGACAAAAGCTTCGATGTGGTTCAGACCCCATCTTCAAGGATGTTAAATTCAAGGGTAACACTGCAACAACTGGTGCTGTCGCTTACTTCAGCAGCGCATACCCATCGTGCGCCATTCCGATCCTGGAAGATGATGACAGCAGGTGGAACCCATCTGTTCCATCTGCTTGGCACTGGACCGACTTTAGCGCTGCTGTGTCGGGCAATTCCGCTATCCTTGGCAACCTGCAAGCCACGTCACCGGTCGCCATCGTCGCAACTTCCTGTCAAGGTCAGGAAGTCTGCGAACGTCAGAGCCTTCTCACGATGGAGGGCTTTCCTGGGATGAGTTTGTTCTTCGGGGCGATGCTCCTCGACAGCTTCAACCAGGTCACCATAGACGACACATTGCAGCTCGAGCTGGTCATTTCACCTGGCTCCACATGCCTGCTTGACGGAGTTCTGCAGCATCGTATAACTCAAGGTCTGGCTACAATTCAGTCAGTCAAGGTGCTAGCGATGGTTGGGACGATTTGGAACTCCATTTGCAAATTCAAAGTCCGCCTGCCCCTCTCCATCATTACATTGAAGAAAGTCGTGCCTTTGGAAGTGCACCTTCATATGGGGCCCTCCGCCGTGACATGCCCTTCCGGGTGGATTTCCTCCGGCGGACAGCAGGCCACTCGCGAGTGCCAAGCCTGTCCAGCGGGAAGTTTCGCTGTTCCTGGCGCATCGAGCTGCACAGTTGGGGCCTCAAGCAACAGGTGTGGAATGTTTCTTGAACCACCCGATACCGCTCGTGCAGAGGCTTGCCCCGCCGGTCGCTTCAACCAGGAAGCGGGCACTGCTGACTGTCTCGTTTGTCCTCCAGGCCCGCTTGATCCCGCTTGTTTGCTACATGGACCAGGTCTGGCGATGTCAGCATGCGAGGTCATGGGTGCCCGGCGGGAACAAGCATTCCTGCTCCGTGCCCACGTGGCAGCATGGCATGAAGAAGACACGGGCAGCGTGGTGCATTGCTCCAGAGCAGGTCCCTGCCAAGTATTGGGGCAAAGACCCCTGCATACTTGCTTTCTGAACTCTGCAGGTAGGTTGGACCTCTGGTTTGCCCGGGAAGGTGTACAGGTAGACTTCCCAAGCCACGTCACTTGTCTGAGGATATCACCAGGACCAGGAAGGAGGTTCCAGTTGCTCGCGCTGTCCTCGGGGTACCTACACGCAGCAGTTGCTCGGACGATATTCCGGTCGGGGCTAGACAGGTGTCGGGGTGGCCACTCCAGATACGGTGCAGGTCCATCTAGCAACTAGCCCGCAGCCTACTGACCGGTTATTGTTTGATAATCGACTTGGATTCCACATTCACGTCTAGTCAGTCTAGTCGGAGTGGAAGACAGGCCCTGCTATTCCCGATGAGTTGAAGCGGAATGCTGCGCGGGTCAGGACTGCCTCCGTGAACTGTACGGAGTGTGTCCTGGGCATGATCACCTTGGAAACGGGCTCAGACTCGGCGTCGTCCTGTCTGTGCTCCGACGGCTCGCCACGTGGTGGCACAAGGTTCGATGTTCGAGAAGTCGCCAGAGTAGACCAGAAGCAGCCCACGAAGCCCCATGTTTCTTCTGGCGGCTAGCGGGTCGTGTGCAAGTAGAGCTGCTCTGCAAGAGGCCGGTCCCCCTAAACTTACTGCCCTTGCCTGAGCCAAGTCCCTGCCAAATCCTATGCGTTCAACTTGTCTAGTGTACATTACAGCAACTTCATCGGGGGTCTACAGAGTCTACAGTCTAGATAAGAGGCGATTCTGCATGCCTCCCAAATTCCAGAGCTCCTTGCCTCCTTCGGTGGGCACGGCTCATTGCTGAATCATTCGGTCATTTGGTTTTTTCCTCTTGCGACACGGTGTGCCAGATCCTCCCCCGCTGCGCCCCAGAGTGCTCTCTTTGACAGATCGCTGCAGTGAATACCGAGGCTCAGTTTGCGAGCGTGCTGCATTCAAAATTTTGTACAAGAGCTGCAGCTCTCAATGCATGCCGTTTGCCCCATCGCTGCAGGTCTAAGCTGTAGACAAGTATGTAAGCTGCAGGAAGCGCCTTGGAGCCTCGGTGCCATGCAGCTAGCCAACCAAGAGCCATCCACAAGGTTTGTGGTGAACGGCAAGGGCTGCACGCCATGCCCTGCTGGGATGCTGCTTGGTCGAAAAATCGCTTCGACGAAATTCATACGGAACTCCGGGGAAGAGTTTGATTTCATGTAAGTAAATCGATGGATCGCGTGTGCACCAGATCCACGCCAACTGCCGAGGCTATGTGCAGCTGGATTGGCGCCTCCACTCCAGCAGGACTAGGGCTGACCACTAGACTCACTAGACACCGCACCAGCAGTTGTCATGCCTGTTCAGCCTTTCGGACTTTCCGAACTGTGGCAGCAGCGTTATTGCGAGCATAAGGAACACGAAATGTTGTCAGGCGGGCTACTGGGCAGAGGTTGAAGATGCAAGCCGTGGGCTTTACTCAGTGTTCCAATGCCGCAGCCTGGACTCTTACTTGAGACACGCATTGCCTAGATCGGAGTTGATGCCCTTGATCATTTGAAGTTGAATGGAAACCTGACAAGTCTTGACCGTGGCCAGAAAGCCATAAGGCCTGCTTGCAGGCTTGCAGTGTGAAATGTGTTGGCCCACAAGACTGCTACCTGTTATCACATGCTGCAGAAGTCTGTCCGGCTGGACCGCCCGAGGTAACGCAGACGAATGCCCTGAAGGAAAGCCTGAGATCTGTGCACCCGGGCGAACCAACTTGGCTTGCAACAACTGCCTGCCAAAATATTATCCCACAGGAAACGGAGATTGCAAGGCCTGCGAGGATTACGACACTTTGGGGTTTTATGTTGCAGTGATCGTGATGTGGTGTGGGGCCGCGATCCTTTTACGGGTGATGAGCGTTGGCATCAGTCAGAGCAGCTTGAGCAAGCTAACTGTCCTGGCTGTGGGCAACCAGCTGGTCATGGTCATTCAGACTTTCTCAACTATTTCAAAGCTCCAAATTGCATGGCCGGAGCCGGTAAAAACCCTGATTGAGTTCGCGGACCTCATCATGATGCTCAGCTGCACTCATGCAGCAGGATCCCCGATTTCACGCAGCAGTCCGACTTCTGAGATAATTAACCACCTTTGAGGATGATCAACTTGGACTTCGTGAAAATCGCGTGTGTGAGTCAACATGACCATCCTGTGGTGCCTCGGCGCAGACCTTACTTGTGTAGGAATTCGGGCTCAGCTTGCATCAGCCGTCGAGCATGCTCAGCCAATTTGTAAAGGGTCAGCCGATGAGAATGCGGGCAGCCATTCCGTTGGCGCACCGGTGCAGTGTTCGGGAAGTAGAATCCTAGCGTCATAACGAGAAACTGGAGTTTAGAAACAGCACATACGAAACCGGATCGTTTCGGTACTGTATGTGGTTTCAGCAAGGATTTTAGGTAGCAGAAACTTGAGCCACCAAACCCAAAGCCTGAGCCCCGACGCCGAAAACAGTTGACTACGAGAGCTATTGCCGAGTTCTTAGACGAAGAAGCCCTCACCATGGCTAGCGTACGCTAACTTTGTAATGTGGGGGCCTTAGTAGTTAGAGCAGGGTTTTGGGGGCTCCTTACTATAATTGTAGTATAATCTAATTACCCCAAACCCTATTCTAATGATTAAGGACCCTATATTAATCGTAGTGCCCCTCGTGCTGGCCATCACAGCAAGTACCCTTGCAGCGTCGTATCAACCGTATGTTCGTCTACGTTACTACGTCTGCAAGGCCGACACCGCTCAACTGCTCAACTCTGTGTGAATCGCGTGCATGACCAACCCATTTCCGTGGATGGCACTATGTGCCTGCCGGGACGTTGCAGGTGAAGCTTCTGGGGCAGCTGCTGGCTTTTCCTGTGCTGGCTCTTGGATTGGGCTGCGTTTGGCTGATTCAGATGCTCGGGTGCAGTCGAAGCAACAGGCAATGAAGCACAGTTTCCCTGGCTCTGTGAACATCATGAAGCGGCAGTTAGCACGGTAGCACCGCAGTTGTGCTTCTACCTGGCAGGCGACACATGCCTAGTAGCCCTGTGCCACAAAATTTCTCCTTGGAGGAAATATTTGAAGCCGAACCAGCGGCTGGACCACCTCATCAATGTCATGCCCCCAGAGCCTCTTTGATTGACGGGCATGGAATCGAGGTGCAAGAGTGCGGAACAGAACAGAACTCGTGGTCCCTTGCAGTGTGTCATGGCCTGTCCGTTGAGCTGCTGGTCAATTCATAGCTTGAGGTTCTCGGCTTCATCCTCTTCGCTTTCTTCCTCAGTCTAGCGCTAGCAACGATGTTGATGCTTGTCTGCATGGCTTGCCGTTGCTGCTGCCCCTGATCCGGGGGTTGCACCGTCGTTTCTGCCCCCCCCCCCGTCATCTCTTGGCTGTCCGGGCTCTTTGTCCGGAAGAGTGAATACGCAAGGTCAAAAGCCTAAGGAGTGAATCCAGCAGGATCCTTTTCCCGAAGGCGAAAACCCCGTGGAGTGAATTCAGCCAGGAACCCTTGACCGAAGACGAAAACGCTGAGGAGAGAGTTGACTGGTGGTGTTTTTCTTCCACTGCAGTGGAACGTCTACGTCTACGTTGATAGACTGTTTCAGTCTTCAAGACATTCAAAAGGCAGGCAGCGTATGAATATGCAACATTTCTGAATTCATAGTCAAGCTGGTGAACATCATACGGCCAGATCTACATGAATTGGCTTCGTTTGAGCTGTTTTTGCAAATCTTTTGCAATTCATGCACCCGATCTTTTGAGTCTCAGTGGCCTCCCGCAGTGATTGCCGTAGATCTGCATCTTGGCCTGTCAGTCCCTGTGCCTGTGAATTGTACAAATCAAGAACAGGGGAAGTTAATTGGACGGCCTTATCAGCTGTACCCTTTGAGGCCTCTGTTATGGTTCTCCTTTGCAAGTCAGACATATCCGAGCATACCGTAACCCTGCAATGCGGGCTCGTCCAAGCTAAGTGGGAGGGGAAAAATCCAGCGGGAAACTTTAACCCAAGACGAAAACCCTGAGGAGTGAAGACCGAAGACGACAACCCTAAGGAGGGAATACCCAAGGCTAGGGCGAAAACCCAGAGGAGTGAATCGAGCAGGAACCTTTTCCCGAAGCCGAAGATGAAAACCCTGCAGCAGGAACCTTCCCCGAAGACGCAACCCTGGAGACTCGGGCTGCCTGTCCGGGCTGTCCGGGCGCCTGTCGGGCTGTCGGGGCTGTCATGTCCGGCTGTCCGGGCGGCGGGGCAGGGCTCGTTTGCGGGCACAGCTGGTTGCGGGGTGGGGGAGAGGGAGTGACGATGGAATTGAGGAATTTGGGGGGGAGGGGGCAGGTGATTGGGGTCCCTAATCGGGTGGAACAATTGCGAGACTTAACTTCCGGCCGGATGCTGTTATAGCTTATCCGACTGACTAACTTGCAGTGGGTGGCTGACTACAGTTGGACAATGATCGGCCCGTCAATGCGAGGCGTTTGCTTCTGACCACAAAGACAGCTTTCGAATTCCCTGGTCATCTCTGCCACGAGTGTATCTGAGGCCATTCCAATGCATCTCGAACCCCAACGGGACCAGCTCAATGGCCAACAATCCGGGGGCCACTCTGACTCTGATTAAGTTATGAACTGCGACTCTACCACTGACTAGCGTCGAGAGCCGCCCCTGGGATTTGCCGACGTAAGATCCAAAACCTGTCAGCCTCCTACAGGAAGCTTTTCTCCAGGTTCTGTGCTACGAATCGGAAGACCACTTTGTGCTTGTCATCGTCGCGGGTGTTGGTCGCTGGGCGGCAGTTGAACATCAGGCTTTGAATGGATCGCTGTTCCCGTTTGCGGGCTCAAGCATCAGCCGGGTTTTTCGGGATCCCTCTGTCATGTCAAGATCCAAGGAATCATACTTTACCCAGTGAGCATCATGGCCTGGGCTGCGTGGGCGACGTACTTATACCCATCTCGAGCCGCCACAGGACCTCGGCGATGACGGTCCGCGCATACTGCCTATATTCTTGTTATGCTCACCTGCGATCTCGCTCAGGTGCCTAGGGCTAAGGCTGGGATCAAAACGAATGTCGATGAGAGTATGCCAGCAGCTGGAGCAAGCACGAGATTCCACATCAAATCGATCCTGAGTCGTTGCTCGAGATTTTCGGGCCTGGCAACACTGACGTTGCCTCAACAATAGGTTTCTCGCCAGTTGTGGCAAATTCGTCTTTGCTAATGCAGGAAAAGGCATCGCGACGTTGTACCGCTACCGCTTCTTCTTCCAGCGCTTCACTCCTCAGTGATTCTTGGATGCGTGCAGGCCAAACCATCCAAGAATCCAAAAAATCTTTGTCGGTTGGTGTGTTAGTGTGTTTCGGGTGAGACAGTGCCAGGCAGATCTCGTCCTGCCCACGAGTGCATATTGCCTCGTTTGTTCTATTGACAGTTTCCGCCGGCGCGTGAGAGGCTGAAGTTGCCAGAGCACCGATCCATCCAAGGCTATTTTTTCGGATTGTTTCTTCTCTTGCGCAATTTCTTGCTGGCGCTCGCGCCGATTGTCCTCGAAGCTTGGATGATTCAACAGGGGCCTGTGTCTATCAGCCTGCAAGCCTGCTGACCTGTTTGGCGACTATGTATTGATCAAGATTTGGATCCTGTTTTGAAATGACAAGATAGCCCTAAACCCCGACATGCTTGCTGTCGAACCCTAACCACCGACCAAAACCGACCAAAACCACCACCTCGGTCTACTAGCAGCACTAGCAGTCTACGAGCCTCAATATTATGAGCATCCTGATCGCAATCCTTCTCGAGGGAAGGGTGCCCTAAAGTCACATCCTGCGATGTCCGAGGTCCCAGTCCCAGCATTGCAAATTGTGGCAGCGGCTCGGCCTGAGGCAGCTTTCGATCTCTTCTGAGACACGGCAATGTCAAAGAGTCGTTTCTTTATAGTAAATCACCGTCTTCGTTGCACTAAGGTCGGGACCATGCTGCTGGCCAGCCTCGCGCTGCAGACGCGGCTATGGCCATGGCGTCTCTCAGTTGCACCTTACGTACCTGTCAGGGCGAACGCCCTTGAACGCCACGGACGTCTCTTGAGCTGCACACCGGCAACCCCCAGTAACTCATTGCCCTAAGATACAGAAGCCCGTCAGCTTTTCGGATCAACTTGCGCCTGTGCATACGACGGCAGCGTCAATGATTTGCATGCTGCCTTCCACATCATGGTGGGGACTTGATCGATGCTCCTGACCTAAAGGTACACGCGAATCGAACGTTGCTGATCTTCTCATGATGCAGCAGCTTGGCGACAATTGCCCAGGTCGGCAAGACGAAGATAGGCGGTCAATGAACGCCCGACCCGAGCGTTGATCAGCTCGTGCCCCTGAGTTGCTTGAGAAGATCCCAGCTCAAGATCTCAAGATGCAGCAAGGTTTGTCGTCATCGTCCTGCTTGGTGTATCACCACTTCTGGAAGCCAAGCTTGATTATGTCTCGGTTTATTCGGACAACAACCTGCAGGCACTAGGCTTAAGGATCCTCCAGGAAGGGCTTGTATCATAGCAAGTACGTTCTCTTCTTTCGAATCGGCCGTAGCGCAGCTTCGACCCAGAGAAAGACTTGTCGGAGATGAGACAGTTCAGTGCTCTAGACTCGACATGCTCGTGTCGGTATGCTGTCAGCCTCGCACTGGAAGCCCACCAAGGGAACTGTCAGGATACTGGTAGCAACAGGCTGGAGCATAGTCCGAGAGCAAGATTTTGGTCATCTTCCGCAGCTATTCAGACAGCCAGCTTCGTCTGCAGGTGCAGTTTGGTGGGTTGAGATCTTGATGCCTGAGTGAATTCCAAAGCATCGGCCGGAGGCATGCCAAAGCCATCTAAGGAAATCGATGAGACAGAAGCAGCAACTCTACTGGGGACACTGCTTTGCCACTTGGCCTTCTCTGGCTTTCCTGAAATAGTCAAACTGTTGCACTCTTGATGGGGGGCACGTCATCCATTGACAGAAAGCCAGTCCTGTTATTCGCTGGTAGTAGCTGGACCACTGCTTGCATCGTCTTTCTTTTGCTCAAAGGAGGGGGGGGCGACTTCGGTGGGATTCTGCATTCTCCTCCAATGGCACTCGTAGCTGTGCCGTTTGAGAGCATGGTCGAGGTGTGCCCGTACTGGCTCCGCTGGTTCTCGCCGTCGTCGTGATGTGCTCTGCTTGCAGCCAGAGTTTGCAGCAAGTAGCGCCTCAGGGACGAACGAGGCCTATCCATGCAGTGCTCATGCCATGAGGATTTGGATGGGCTGGCGCTCTTTGCAGAAGACAGCTCGCTATGACGTCTTCCTTTGTCACCATAAAGGCCATGGCTGCCACATGCCTAGTCGAGCCTAGTCCAGGCCTCACGTCAGGCAGCTGAACAGAAAAGCAGTGCTGTCCTCAGCTGTCCTACAAAGACTGCTTCTTGCGTCGCTTCTTGCAGGTGGTGCAGGAGCGTTGGCTCGTTATATCAAAATGCAGAGACTTGACTCGCACTTGTGATTGCGCCCATGTCCTCAGTGTGAGTCATGTACCGGAGCCTCCAGAAGCCAAGGCTTACAACGCTGACAGGCTGCAGCGTGTTCTTGGATGCCGATTGCCTGGAGAGCCTGGATGGCTTCTCATCTTGCACTGCCTGCTATTCATGTTGTGGGGTTCCACACATACATGTTGTGGCGACCAAGGCCTTTTTGACATCGTGCGGGAGCAGACCAAGAACTTCGTTGTCATCTTGACCCAGGAGGGCGGCGAGTGCGTTCAAGCTCACGGTTGAAGCAACAACTCTGCTTAAGCAGGTTTCTAGGGACCGGTATTGGAGGTATGGCGGATATGTCTAAGCAGTGTCTCACACGCACCATCATGGACAGCCAGCCGGCGCGCTGAGCTCTAGCAGGGCACCCTCGGCTCCTGAGGTGTCGGATTGGGATACACTGGCGTCTTGCAGGGGTGATGTTGAGATATCATTTGGATCCTCAGGCCTGCGCACATTCGCCGAACTTGTACCTCACACTAAAAGGACACTGTTCATGCAGGTGGCGCACTGGTGCATTAGCGCTGGCACTTGCTACAGGTCTCTTGCAACATCATTCGATGTCAAACTGGTTCTCATGACATGGCAGTGGCCAGCAGTTGCAAATAATTTCGCCGCAGAGTGCCCAAAGCTGTAAAGCGGTCAGTCTCTGTGTCGAGTTGCGAGAGCTGCAAGACACCGTAACGCCGCGTTTTCTTCTGGGATATAAGAGTGCTCCTGTGCTGTAGTTTGTGACATTGTGTCATGCCGACTTGCACCTATGGATCCTCGCCTGGCTTGTCCGCGTTGTGAGAGTGTAAGAGTCCTGGACCTGTCGGGCGGAGGTGGCCTCCGATCGGAGAAGCCCCTATTACCCACTGCTCCACCTGGCCCTGGGCCGAGCTGCACCTACTCATAGTCACCCAGCGCAGCAGAAAGGGGCTGGCCAATACATACTTGATGTAATGATTTCCGGAGCAGTTCGGGCGACGGCCGTCAACTGCACTGCGATTCCCAACTGCCTGCAAATGCATTTGCTTACGAGATCTTAGAAGGCCCTCCCGAACGTAGTGGAGGGGGTTCTTCGACGCTCGGGCCTCCAGTAGGTCAGTAGGATTCAACAGACTCGGGGACGTAGGGCTGTTCTGCCTGGGAGCACAATTCTTGGCAACACCACCAACCTGCGAAAAGCGAAAAGGAGCTGCCGAAGCGCATGTGGTGTGCGGGCGAAGTCGCAACGGCTCACAAGATGCTCGCCTGGGGGTTACATAGTCGGAGAATCCTTGTTTAGCGGCTCGGGCTTCCGGTTTCGCCGAGGAATGCGATCCTCACCGTGCCAGACTCCTGGATTGCATGAGGTCTCGTTTCAGTCAAGAGAGTAAGTGGCCCAGAGTTGGGAAGCGGCTTTTTGGCTTGCAAGTCGCCCCACGTGCCGTGGCCTTCTGCCAGATTGCGTGCGCAGTCGAGGTGAAATGCGATGGTTTTTTGAGCTACACGGAAAGCCAGATCGATGTCATACCGCAAATGTGGTCTGCTGACGAACAACATGCTCTAAGTTGCAGCTGGGCCGATTCTGGAATCCAGAGAACTTCATGGGAACAAACAGGGAACCAGCTCTCAGGTCGAGGCATCTCCACATCAGATGTCGTGAACTCCTTGAAAGTCCTGCTGGCGCTGCATGGCGTGATGATGCCGCGCTTCGGCAGAGATGCCGAAAAGCATGAACCTGGGCAAAATCAGGAAGTGGATCAAGGCTTTCTTGAGCTTCAGACCACATCTGGGCCCCAGGGCAAGATCTGAAAAGCTCCAGAGCAGCCCACGAGCAAACCGATGTAGGCTCAGGCCGCAGAAAGGGCCTAGAAACAGACCCGAATTTGCCAAGGAAGCCATCGAGAAGATCGCTTTGAGATGTGCCCTGTCGCGCAAGACGTACAGTGCAGAAAACGGCACGACTTCCAAGGTGACTCGGCGGATTTTTGCCGCTTCCTTTGTTGACCGAAAGAAAGGACTTCTTAGTGTCAAAAGCCGGGCAACGACTCGTGAGCATGGCTCGCTTTTGACGGCAGTTCGGGCAAGTTCAGCACACTATGCTCTTGCTTCTAAGCCACCATGGGCTTGAGGCTCGCTGCAAAGCAAGAGCTAAGGCTCGGATCCTGATGACGGGTGCTGTGCAAGATGCGGAAGCCCTAAGTGTTATCGAGATATGCCAGCACATGGTCCAGAAGCGGCTGCAAGTGACCTGTGCCATTGTCCGGACGGAGCTCGAGGCAGCATCCCCGTAGACGGCTTTTATTTTTGGTTGTATGACCCCGCAGCGTTCTCGCATTCTTGCATTTTGTAGACAAGCGTGCATAGCGAAATCGCTATGTTGTGCATGGCGGCTGAGAGAGAGAGAGAGAGAGAGAGAGAGAGAGAGATGACCCCGCGGAGTCGCACTCCTGCCCACAGCCCTCGCGAAAGAAAGAGAGATGACCCTGCAGCAACTGTAGCATCGAAGCAAGCGTGAGTAGAGACTGCTGCCGGTGCTGCCGGGTAGGAAGCAGCAAGCTGATGGATGCAGGTCCGCATGATGATGGCCTATGCATCCTATTTTGTGGTTCTGCTGTCGCGGGGAATGCTACGTGATCCGTCTTTTGCTCGACTTCTGCTCGCAGCAACGGCTTCTCCAAGTCATGGCGGTTCCGTGATGTTGTCGAGGCCCGCTCCTTCAAACATCGGACAGCAACCTTTGAGAGGCTGTTGTTCAGTACTTGTCAGTGTTGTTTCCCCATGCGGCTCTGTACCAACCAGTATCCGAGTTTGGCCTAGCGTTCGCCCAGAGCACCTTATCCCCCTGCCAGATTTGATATTCCTGAGAATCGCAGGACCCTCTCGACAAGTTCACGGGCCTCGGAACGACATTTGGAACTGGTCACTGTCAATGCGGACCCGAACTTTGAATTTCCTGGCTCTGGTGCTGAACTGGGGCTGAGGGGTATCATGTTCGGCAGGGTTGCGAAATTTCTGGATGGTTGCCCTTTTCCGGAAGTTTTCCTCTGCACCCTGCGGAGCCGTTGTCCTCCGACCTTCGGGAGGGCGGGCCGTTATCCAAGCTCAGGTTCCGATTTCTACGACGAACTTCGCCATTTCGGACTTGGCTTCGGACATCAGGCAGGGTGTTCTCCTTAGGGAAGCCCCTCAGCAGAATCGTGTTATCCCCGTGCACCTTCGGTCGTCTGCAGATGCCAACGGCGTCGTAGCACTCAGCACCAGCGGCGTCGTAGCACTCAGCATCAGCTGCCGTCAGGCAAGCATCGCCTGATTCGTGTTCGCTGTCGCTTTTGATGCTAAGCAAAAGCAAACGGTGCAGTCCATGCAGAACTTCCAGGGCCAAAATCCCTACAGGCATGGTTGCTAGCAAGGTCCTTTTTCCGAAGGTGCCCCTGAAGCTTGGGGTTGATGATGTCATCTTCGCTCCTCGCTGTTGTTGCACAGGTTGGGGGCCGACTCGAACAAGCCTACCGCTGCCTGGCTGCGGAGATGAAGGGAAAACAGGACTCGGCCAGCTACCACTCCCTTCCTCCACGATTTCAGCTTTTGTAAGGTGCTTTGCTGCAGCTGCTCGCGCTACCACTCTCCCCGCATGGGTCATCCGCTCTCATCAAGAAACAAATCGAGGAAGTCTGCGGGAGGCACGGCACAATGGTTGAGGGTCGAGCTCGTACCAGGCGAAAAATAGCGAAAGGTGTTGACAGTGTCACCTTCTACGATCCTGTTGGCACGTGTGCTGTGCTGCTTGCAATCAACTTCCGTCTCGCAGGTTCCGGAAGTATCAGAACAACGCGGAGGGGTTGGCCCAGGTGCTTTGGCGGTATCGGACAACATGACAGCACAGCAGGCTCTCGTCGCGGCACAAGAAAACCCCACGGCAACACTCAGTGCGGCAACCTCGAAACAAGATGCAAAAGGCGGAAGTGGATGTGATGCAGGGATTTTCGGGTTGTCCGAAGACTGAGGATCTGGAATCTGACGAGGCATTGCAGAAATGCGCCAACTCCCTGGAAGCACGGCTGACGGATTCTGAAGTTTCGTTCACTTTGGCTTGCACGCTCAGGTTTCCTTCGCCTGCAGCCATGCAAATCTCGAGAGTACATACAGACATTGTGTGTCGCTGCGGGCCGCGTCGATGTGCATATGTAACATGGGTTTGTTGAACATGCAGTGGCCTGGGCAGGGTCACTTTAAGCTAGGCCCTTCCCTCAGCTCTGCCTCGATGCCGTGTTCAAGCTTAGACTTACCAGGATCCAGCCGACTTCAATGCTGTGGAAACTGCGTCGTGCTCAAGCCCCGCAATCACTCCACACTTGGACAGCAGCAACGCTTCTGATGTTGAGCTAGCTTCCTAGATTCGAGGGTCAAGCCTTCTCCGATTCTCTGGCACTTGCTTATAGTCATACTCTAATACACCCGAATTGAACCTACATGGTTTTGTGGCACCTTCGCTTATGGAGCGGTTAGAGCTGCTCCCTTTTGTAGTGCCTGGGACAAGGTAGGTGAGTAAGCCTGCGTTTGGCAGCTGAGGCATGTTTTGTCCGAGCCCAGGTGCAATGAGTGGCCCGGCCGGGAGGGGGCTAAGGCATAGGATTTTGGGTTAGGAGCTGAGCATCCATGCGCGATCAGCAGTGGGAACTGTTTCAATGTTAGGCTTCCAGAAGAGAGCTCCCCCTTGTCGTTGCAACAGATTTCACGTCTAGTATGGATGCTGCCTTCTCATGGCACGCATTGCCATGTCAGAACCTTTTATAAAAGAGAGCTTGCATTTCTTGCAGGTGTACGAAGTTATGACATGCCACTGGAAATGCTGATGGAGTCCGTCATAGATGAGAAGTCGATGGGCCGTGCCCAGCCTGTCAAGCGCAGTGGATGTCACCAATTTGTTTGCGGTTTGGGCAGAATCAACAGCTGATACCACGGTATGCAATGCATGCATAAACAGAACTTTCGCAGCAGATCAAAGGCATCGAAGACATTGACGAAGATGATCCGGTTTTCGTCACGAACGGGGGCATGTGCGACGGCGAAGAAATAGAGGAGGAGACGCAGAAGATACCTCTCTGAGTGAGACTGCGGTGCAGGTGGAACCCGCGGGACAAGTTTTCCAAGCTGTTAGAACAAGCTGGCTGAAAGCCTTGCTTCAAGAGCGCCCCATACAACTGCAAAGGCCCCTCTCGTGGATCGCAGCAGCGCTGACGTTGAGCATAGAAGTTGCCACGAGCTTTGTCTAAACTGCTGACGGACACGCACGAGGGGATTTTCCCAGGCACGGATGGACGTGGATCGCCCGTGCCTGTGACAGGAGTGCTCGGCTCGCACGAAGGTGCGAGCTCAACTTAGAGGTCATTGATGGCTAGCGGCTAGGGCGCAGTGGTACTCGTATTTCAGATCTTGAGCATTTTGCAGCAATCCCGTTGCCTTCACTGACCGGCCCTTTTTTAACATAGGGCCTTTCAGAAACCTTAGAACATGAGGCCTGGGCAAAATGCCGTTCCTCACGTACAACGCCAGGCAGTGAGTAGTCCGAAGTCCTGCCATCGAGAAGGATATTATACTGCAGACAACAGGGTTCGATTCGCCACGGACACACAGCTTAACTCAGCAGAGCTGACAGTCTAAGTCTAAGGTTGAGGTCGCTTGGACTTAGGTAGGCTGTAGGCTTGACTCGCCAGCCAAGTGTTCCTGCAAGCGCTTTAGGAACCGAAGCGGGCAAGCTTGGGAGCCACAATTCCCTTCGGCTTACTGTCCTGTACCCGTGGTTGCACGATTTGGCGTTGAAAAGAAGCGCTGTGGCCTTGCTTTGGGTGGAACCTGCAACTTGCAGTCCAACCTGCAGCGGCGTCATGTCGAAGCACTCTCGAGCACCCCTGCATGTTGAAGTCTTGCTCATTTTGATCCCATGCTGGCCTGCATGACATTTGTAGGCCGTGCGGCTTCAACTTGCGCCTCTGGAGCAGCGGGTTCTTCAGGTTCATCAGGACCTCTTGCCTTTGATGCTCGGCTGGAATGAGACATCGCCAGCTTCGAGGTTTGGATGGACAGGGATAAGTCAGGCTGTGCAGCATCTCGTCGATAGCGTTCGTGTTGCATTTCTCCAGTGCTGCAGGGTTCACGGATTTGCTGTTTCTGCATTCAACAAAGAGACACATTTTCTCTGGAGTTGTCCGATGCCGGCACCCAGCGTGGCATGTTGATGGAATGCTAGTGACTTCTGGTCTTGGACCCAGCTGCTGCGGAGGCACGTTCATGGTGTTCACCTTGACCAACCTGGCTGCATCAATACGCAGGACATCCCCAGGGTCGAGCGGCCACTTGAGGGAAGATCTATTACAGCCTAAGGACCAAGGAGCCACGTGCCGATGTACCTTGTACCAGACCAGAACGACTGTCCACACGGGATTGGGCCCGGCATCCTAAGCAGCTCAGACTTTGGATATGCTCAGACCTGAGAGCCTGAGTGTGAAAGCCAGAGACTTTGCAAGACGCTTGACAGGAGATCCCCCTCCCGCTCCAGGTGACGGCAGAAAGTCGCTTGTTTGACTATGAAAGCTGCAGAGAGAAACTCACGACACGAGACGTGCTCGTTCGTTTGGAAACAGTGGGGAAGCTCGAAGGCAGAGCCGGCTCAGGCTGCGAAAATGTCCGAGGAATCAACTTCGAGGGATCGAGATGGAAAATGTCGGCAGTTAGTTTGACCGCCTATCTGTTGGGATGCGTAACATGCCATGTTTTTCAGCATGATCTGTCACTGAAGAAGGTTAAATGCTCGCACTTGAAGTCGCATTGCCGTGAAGAGAAACAGGTCCTGTCCTTCCACCGCCAAGTCTGCCGAGCAGCTGCCACATGCTCAGCTCAGCTTCTAGCTTCTATATAAGAATGATGGCTCTGCAGCAGCTCCCGTAGCAGACCGTGGCAGTAAACATGCTGCAAAGGCCTGCGACAGTCTGCCGTGGTTCCGGCCACAGAGATCGCACCATGGAAGCGGCCTCCAGGCATGAAAAGCTCCCTATTGCTTCAACGGGTTGCAGACCTGAGCAACCTGGTGAAGGCAAGCCCCCACAAGACCATGCATCAACCAGCAGAACTCAGCATCGATGCTTTTCATTTCCAGCCCAGTACCCATGCCAGAGAAGTTCGCAGTTGTGGGCTGGGCTGAGGAACAGCGCGGGTAGCCTCGAGATGCCTGAGGCCAGCCCGGAATGATCCAAGACCAAGACGGTGGCAAAGGCAGAAAGGCACTGCCTGCGACAGGACCGGCAAGCGCCCAGCCTTTCCAGAGAAGCTCCGGCCAAGCTCACGGTGTCCTTCTCCAAGAGCGCAATGAGACTTAGATGGCAAGGTGCAGTCAGAAGCGGTGACCGGCCAGTGACTGCCGGATACTGAGGATGGGGGAGAAAAAGAGGAGCTGCATGGCAGCACGTGCAACATCTGACATATCTGACCTGTGACAGAAGTAGAAAATGGTGGTCATGTGATCGTGGTTCGAAGCCTTACGATTCAAGAGAAGACTGCACAGATGCGTCTCAGAGTTCGGCGTGTTGTTGTGTTTGTCTCTCTGTCTGTGTGTCTCTGAGTGTGTGTGTGTGTGCGTGTGTGTCGAACCCTGTCCCAGAGGGATAAGCAACCATAAGTGCAGGCGGACAAGGCACATCGTCGGGACCTGGCCCAACGAAGCTAAGAACATGTGGGAAGGGAGCATGGACGTATGCCCCTGTACCTGCCCGGATTGCACGTAGATAGCTGGTAGATTGACAAAACATAACTCTGATCCAGTGTTGAGATGTGTTGAGTCCAGTCAGACCCTGGACTATGGACCCTGGAATCTTGAAGGTCACGGGTAACTTGATTCCTTTTCCGCCGTGCGGTTTCCTCTGCGTGTTTGTGTGCGCACGTGTGTCTTGGCAGGGTAGTAGGGCGTGCCATGGCGGCGACGCATAGTGAGAGTGTTTTGAGCCCGAATCATACTCATCCGTGTGAGTGCATGCATGATCTCAACACATGTCACTCTTCGGGGCGCTGTCCACCCGTTCCAAAAGCGCATGCTTGTTGTGAACTCAGATTCTGGGACCCCCATCCCGCTGGCAAAGTCGGTGACCACTTTCCACTTCAATGCCACAGATCTGCACTATTCAGAGCAGAGATGATGCTACCCTTCGTGTTCGTGTAGTCTTCACGAGCCTTCAATCCTCCAAACCAAGCAGCATTTCCATTATGTCCCATCACGCTTGCAAGGAGTCGGACATGCCATGGCACAGACGCGCCCTGCCTGCTGTCAGCCTGAGGCGCAGAGAGATCTTAATTCAATTCACAGGGAAGGCTCACCTGTTGTCAGACTGATTGTGTAGTCACATACCAAGAAGACTGACGATTGCTGCCAATAATGGGCGGTATAGTGTCAAAGCATGCATGCTACGGAACAGACGAACATTTTTCATCTTTCACTGCTTAGGAATGTGCCACCAGCTCGTGCGCAATGCCCGCTTTGAGCTGCTGGTGATGATGACGCTGCTGGCATCGTCAGCAACCTTGGGGGTTGAAACGCATGTGGCGATGCAGGATATCCATTCAGCAGCTGGGATTAATTCACTAGTTTTTGGTTGCGGGTCTGTCCCTGGTCTCTTCGTGCTGGCCGAGACACGAGTTTCCCGCTTCTTTCCGAAAGAGCAGTAATGCGGCATCCACGAGAGCAGCCTTGATAAGCTCTTTCCGACGAGTTTGCTGCTGGAGGGGTGGAAGATGCTGGAAGTGAGGAAGGGTAGGTTAAGGATTTAGGCATTGTGTGCGTATTGCAGAAGCCAAGGAGCCGCATGCCCGTTGGTTGCACTGGCTGTGGTGTGCTATGCTTGCATTTCCAATCGTGATTGTGCTCGTCTACCCGCAAACACGTGCCGGCGCAGAAGTAAAAGTTCTATCATGTCGTGCGGTGATACAGAGCCCTGATGAGGTAATTTTCCGCATATTCGACATCACCTGGTGCGTGGCGTTCGTGTTGGAGCTCGTGTTCCGCATTTTCGCAGACGGCAAGATGTTCTTCAGCATAAGAAACCCAGAGTGCCTTGCCGTGTTTGGAGTGCTGAATGAAAGCAATTGCTGCGCCTGCCCTCCGTGTCAGTTGGGTTTTTCGTCCAAGAGCCTTTCAGGGACACAGTTTGCACACCGTTGGTGAGCATCAAGACACAGAGTTTGCAACGAGTGTGTTGCTCGGAAGTGGTTGACGAGGTATGGATGGAACTGGATGGACACTTTCTTTGTCGCATCCCAGCCGGACTTGAGACTTGCAGCTCCAGCAACATCATGAGGATCGAGGCAGTCGTTAACAGGCTGTGGTTCCATATAGTATTCTACAGGCCGTGATAATCATGCCCATCTCGCCGGCAGACAGAATCTTTCCTTCGATTGATTCCACACCTCCGAGGCCATATCGACTGCCGATGAAGCGGTTGTGCTGCTAGGCCACGGGTCGTCACGAAAGCAAAAAAGATCATACAACAATTGCAAGAGCCCCTGCTGTCCGATCCTGTCGTAGTTGCAGGATTTGCAATCGAGCTTTCTCAGTTCCGACTCCTGCGTATGATACGCTTGGTGCGTGTCCTGAGACTACTGTGCCTGGCCAGCTATTGGGGCGCTTTCGGGGTGCCTGCGTTAGTGCCGATAATCGAGTGAATACGGTGGTGGTGGTGGTGGTGGTGGTGGTAGTAGTAGTAGCAGCAGTAGTAGCAGTAGTAGGTAAGTAATAAGTAGTAGTAGTAGTAGTAGTAGTAGCAGTAGTATCAACAGTAGGCCCTGGGCGGATCGTTTGCCCACCTTTGTTTGTGAGTCAGCTTCATTTTACTCGTTATTTAAGAGTGATTGGGGCTTCAGACTGGTTCCAGAAATTACATTGGAACTGCACAGTAGCGATTAGTGATTAGTCCCTGTGTGGTGCACCTTATTCAATGTTCACGGCAGGGTTGAGAGTCGTGACACAAAAGCATCGGCCAGGGCATTGTTTTCTGCCGTCGGTGTCCTGCCACAGTCGTTCAAGAAAGCGTTTGGCATTGGCTTCCAGCTTCGTTGCGGGATCTGTGGTTTTTCCAACTTATTGGAATATTCGAAGGAAGACTGGAAGAGTAGTGCTTGCTTCGTTTCCATGTTCCCCGACACACGCTGGTGTCTTCACCCCAACTTCAAACACGGCTGGGACTGGACATGGATGCACTGGCAGAACGGATTGGGCCTGGGTGGACGTTATCATGGTTGGGACATGGATGCTCTGGCAGAACGGATGGGGTCTGGGGGGACGTTATCATGATTGGGATATGGATACCCTGGCAGCACGGATGAGGTCTGGGTGGACGTTATGCTCTGGCAGAACGGATGGGGTCTGGGTGGACGCTATCATGGTTGGGGAGCAGCAGCAGCAGCAGCAGTAGTAGTAAGCAGTAGCTAGCAGTAGCTAGCAGTAGTAGTAGTAGTGGTGGTGGTAGTAGTAGTAGTAGTAGCAGCAGCAGCAGTGGTAGTAGTAGTGGTAGTAGTAGTAGTAGTAGTAGTAGTAGTCGTAGTAGTAGCAGTAGCACTAGCAGTAGCAGTAGCAGTAGTAGCAGTAGTTGTAGCAGTAGTAGCAGTAGTAGTAGTAGTAGTAGTA